AAAAAAAATTATAAATAAAAAAATAAAATATTTTTTTTTTTTTTTTTTAAAAAAAAAAAAAAAAAAAAAAAAAAAAAAAAAAAAAAAAAAAAAAGATAAACACATTACACCTAATCTTGAAAAATGATTGAGCCATCGATATATAGAAAAAGTGATCTGCCGATATTACTTTACTATATCATTTATAAATTTGGATTTTATATCGATATTATATTAAGTAATAAGTCGGGTAGCCGGAATCATAATCAAATTTTCCGTGTCTAGTGCAAACTATCATTAAAGCTTAGTTGCTCGATAGAAGCTAGCGTACATGTTAACTCTGTCAAGGGGTACGTCTGACCCAGGTTCGCGAATGCAAACCGGATCGACAACAAACCCATGCTTGATAAAGACCTTGTTATACCACGGATGCCTAGCGCTTGATCTCCAAAATACATAACCGCCTTTTCTGACAGCTCTTGATAGTTGCTTAATTTCTTCTTCCGCCTCACTTTCCGAAAACCAATCTATGTGATCCATTACGACAGCTTTCGTCAACTCTCCATCTTCGAATCCTTTTAAAACATCAACGATATAATTGGTGTGAATTCGAATACTATCTAAAGCACCTCTCTTTTTTAATGTTTCAAAACCGGACTTTGTTAAATACGATGGACATGATTCATTATCATAATGTAACATAAGGCATAAGAAATAAAAATATCCATCGTCCACAAATTTGTAACGAGCAACAACACTGTCGAAAGTGTCGCATATATATTGGTAAGCTGTGCCTTCACCTAGAAGCATTTTCCATTGGCGGATTGGAACACCTAAAGCTTTCCAGAGGAAAACAGGGTTATTAAGCATTTTTATTAACCAGGAGTGTAGGATTGCAGGTCGGAGTTTGTCATCATAAATTTTTTTTTGTTCTTTTAGTGATTTTGCGTGGCAAAGCGACGTTACGTCACGTGAAAGACCTTTTAAAGTTATTATCCAATGTAGGAGTCTTAACGCGATTCCCGATGAACCTGTACGGAAAAAGTTTTTCTGAAATGTTTTGGAATGGGTTTTCCAGAATTGATAGGCATGTGAACTTAGATATGGAGAAAGTTGTGTGTCAAGCAGATGTTCGAACTCCATATGTTTGCCTTAAAAAGAATAGAAATCATAGATTAGCATTTTGTTTTTTGTTTTTTTTTTTAAATATATAATTAATTAGTTGAAGTTTACCTTTTCCGAATAAACTCCAAAAATCTTTGTGGTTTAACGCAGTGATACCAGCAAGCTTCAGTTCAAGTAAATGATTCTGTGAAATGAAACATAATAAAATGTTATAAGAATATATCAAAGCAAATAATATCCGGAACTAATGAAATGATGTGCCATCAGGCTAATCCATATCAAGATTGGTTATGTATTTTCAAACGATAATTGTAAATATAATGTATATAAATCCACCGACTAATTTTCTACCCGGGTTTAAAATAAACACACAAGCCCTCTTACAATTTAATTCGTTAAATGGTTACACAACCAGACTTAAACAGAATATTAAGGATTATTATTTTTACCTGACATGGATTAAGATCTACACAGTGTATTCGCTTGGGATTTCCTCTTAAAGCATATTCTAATAAGTTATCTCCTGCACTAGTAATAACGAACATAGTATCATCATCTTTCAACTCAAGTACTTTCATATCTTCGCGTGGATCTTCCCACGTAAACGCATAAATATAAGTATCAAATTGAGTATGACGTGGCAAAGTAGGGTTATAAGGTTGACGCCAAACCGGTTGATCTGTAACTGATTTATTTGTACTGGAAACTTCGACCGAAGAAGTCAGTGAAGTGACTAACGTGGAAGCTAAGTTAACGTGAGAAGTAGAAGAATTGGCAGTCCCTAACCAAACATAATAAGGGATTTGGACCAAATAAGGAATCAGGAAATGGTTGCGCCCATTAAAAGTTTTTAATGTATCGAATTTGTATTCAACATAATCTCGACGTGATGAATGTAGGTTAATATGGTCAAATTCGAACCACACTTGCCAAAACCATCTTGTGAACCAGTTACAGTGATATCCTTGTTGAATTTGTATATCACTATTAATAACTCTACCAGATACATAGGAATCAGCTATCCCGAAAAGACCATTTGGAAGT